TACTTATTCAGCTTCTTTGAGTGAGACCACAGTGCTACCTGGGTTAATCAGATGCAAGCAATTCATCGGATGTGCATAAAGATGTAATTTAAAAATGATTTGAAAGCGCCTCATTGAATATAAATAACTATGCTCGTTGGTGCTTGAGATTGAGCGTGAGATTGTATTTTGCTATCTGTAGGTGTTGGCAAGAGAAGTTTGTGGTGCGCTGGTTTTACTGATCCGCCCAAACCATCCGGGTGGTATCGCAAATATATAGAGAATAGAACAATAGAGGAGACGTCAGCCAATCAGGAAATACTGACCACACTATAACTGATAAAACTGATTGGACAATGCCGACTCTTTTATCTTTATTGTTCGTTGTTGTGATTTGAAATGGCAAAGGGAAGTACCTTTGAAAAAACTTTTGCAGGCCTTCTCGTTAAATTGAAACTTTTTTTAAGAAATAAAAAGAAAGAGAAGAAACGGCATTCTGATTATCGATGCTGACATTGCCATGTTCATTAAACAGCGACATTTATATTGATCTGTCTTATCTTTGCGACATATATTATATCTAATTCTTCCTTGTTTTGGCGAGGCAAGTAAACTGTGTTAATTCTTTTAAAGAACTAATCGGATGAACCGAAGCTAACCGATAAACTGTGAACATCAAATTGGAATAGAAGAAACCAAAATCAACGACTGTTTTAGCGGCCGACCGGTTCATTTATAGTTTACTAGAACGTTAGGGCGTAAACAGAACGACAAAAACTGTAGTGTACATGCACAAAGACTACGTTTCATTTGACCACTGATTCTAAGCTAGAGAAGGGAAAACGACGTGTAAACGACGAATTTAGAAAACGAGCTATCAACGCAAAAATTTGGCATTCGTTGTCACCAAACCAAAATTGATTCATAGTGTGTTTATGTTTTTTGTGCGAATTTGTTTTTAAAATTCATAAAAACAAAACTCTGAACGTGAGTGATAACACCCTTTGTTTTAGATAAAAGCTAGAAATGCAAATTGTTATTGTGGTTGCGGAAACCATTGTTGGTTAGTTGTGGTCGGTGGTGAACTTAAAACAAGACTTGCTATTATTTTGTATTTTTTACTCGCTATTTTTCAAAACGGCCAACGCGAATAGACGTTCTTTTAATTAATGTCCCTGCTTCAGCATTGTTTTAAAGCCTATGCAAAGTTTCTGACATCCTTTCTAACCATTGCCGTGCATTGTGAGATGGTACCGACCGTACATTTTTACATTTTCTTTCTGTTAAATTTTGGCGCAACATTATCTCCTCTTTCTTCTTTTAATAGGGAGCTCAAGCAAAGGCATTCGATGCACGTCAACAGGAAGAGAGACCTTTATCTTGTTTAATATGTCATGAAACCCAAGTTTCTATTACTAATATAATAGTCTTAATAGAACGCTTTCCCCGAAAATTTGGGCATCATACTGCTCGGCAGAATACTGCCCAAGGATGCAAAAAAACGCACTTCCGGTTGACGTGAGTCCGGCTCAAAACGTCTTTTAAGCTCACTATTAAAATGCTGAATATATCAACATGCAGAACGTTGTATCTCCACTTCTCCTTCTCAGTTGATCTCCCAAACCTGCTTCAAGGGCAAGGGGCTAGAATTTGTGGTATCCCGTTCACGCGCTTCTTCATTCCTCCTAGTTTTTCTTGACCTTCAAATATATCCAGCCAGATCTCCATAATTCATCTACATCTGATCTCCACTGACTTTACCCGAAAAGGTAAGTTTCAGTAAAAGTTTTGATCAAGGGAAAGGAAATTTAGTTCTAGTTAGCGAAGAATTCTAGCTATCCGAGTCAATTATCAAGGTTGTACTGACTGTATAAAATGAATGATTCTGGTCGTTACCGTAAACTGGTCGCCTCTAGCTTACGGAAGAGGTTGCGCGCAGAGCTTCGACCGCACATAGAATGATCAAAAAATTATTGAACCCTACTATCGCGGCAAAATATCGTCATTTGTTGGAGTGTCTCACAGGACAATTCGTTTCTGCAGCCTCCGGCTTCAGCAACGCCCAAGAATTAGCAATTTATTATAAGGTACTTCAGATGCTAGTATCGTCAAGCCCAATTATCTGGTAAAAAACAAATCTACTCTTAAATATAAGGCAAAAAGCGAGAAAGATTATTACGAAAGCGCAGGGTACAAAAAATGTCATATAATCTTACTAAGTAAACATGTCAGCAAACCAGAGGATGTTTCTTTATAATTAGAATCAAAAAGTTTTTTTTGTCTTGAAAACTGTCAGCAGATCTATTTTTTTCTGCAAAATCAAGCGTTCTGATCGCCTCGTGCTTACCTTTGGCCTCGAGCAAATGCAAAAATCAGAAACAAACAAATAAACAAACAAAAATAAGTAAATAACATCTGTTTTACAGGATAGAACAAGAAGCATACAAAACTGCCCACGTTTTTATAAATAACGAAGTATCAACCCTTTCAAAAATGGCCAATTAAAATTGTATTGGAGACCCGGGGGATCCCTAACTTCGTTAGCCTAAAAGGTTAAGTACCACTGTACAACAGGAAGTTGGTTTTAAGGTTTCACAAGTCAGTCACAAACAGGGTTAACTAATTCCCCATTTAGCCTCTTGAACGAGGTGATTTTTTGACCGGATCAGTGTGAAAGTTGGGCCTACCTTTGTGCCATAAATAGTCGTTCTGTAAAGTTACCTGATGTTCGTTAAAAAAAATGCTTAATTCTGTTTGCGAAACGGAATGAGTTAGAGTCATACAATAATGTCTCTTTGTCTCAAACAGGGTAGGGTCAGGTTACTATACATCAAGGCTAATTACCACGAAACAAAACAAAGCATCTTTCGTCTCTTTCTTAGTATTTACTGGTTGTCGCGAAAGGACAGCCCATTTTGACGCCCGTCCTAAAACAACAATGCATAGCCACGGAATGTTCCCAGTTTACGGGAGCCAATCAAACCATGGGAATATTCCTAATCACTAAAAATGGCTAAACATCTACTTGCTCCTCCTCAGGGTCGGTGCATAGCGCTACTATCTCCACTATTATTTACTCGGCTCCTCTTCGATAGATAGTTGTGTACCTATTCACTACAAGAAACAAAATAAAATTGCGACTTTTTCCTTTCTGTAAAAGGTATAGCGGTACCAAACGTCTTAATGCTAGCGGAAAATTAAATTTGGCCAAATTAACGATTCAGTTTTGTTTTCAGCTTGACTTCCCTCTCAGGCTGAAAGCTGAAGACGTCATCGAGCTCGTAACTTAGGCAAACTGGTTTTTCTCCATTAATTAGGATAGCTAATTTACTTGTTGTTATCATTCATTATAAAACTATAGTTTTGGGTCAGATGACTGACGAAATTCGATGATACTTCTTTGTTATTGTAAAAGGTGGTTTGTATTCATTGGTCACTATGTACGTGTAGTACGTGTACGTTCAGACTGACAGAAGCCTTGGGTTTATAAGTCACGTGGTTTGACGCCCGGGATTAGTTCCTTTCTTTATTTTAGGTGTATCCTTGTTGGGCAAAGGCGGCTATATCCTACTTGTGTTTCATCCGGATATAAAATTAGAGGAGTACTATGGGTCAGTGCAGGGTCGATATTTATTATATATAGGTACTCTTTTATCATAGGTGAACTGTTTTTTGGCCATTCTAACCTTTTATTAGTTCACCTACGGCTAACACATCGAGGAAACTTTTTTCGGTTAGGATTTGGTAGAAAAGATTGCTCTCCAAGGACGATATTGGTATCAGGCTAAGATAAAAATAACAGTTCTTTTTTAAGGAAACCGTCAAAAACACAGAAAAAGATAACTTGGTGAAATTTATGGTATATAGAAGCCTGCAAAGCAATAAAGGCCTAGCTTGCTAAATAAAAGAAAACTGTACTCTTGACGAAGTTCGTACTGCGACGGTCCGGCATAACTTAACTTCCTATAACTTGATGTATGGGTATCCCTCCTCTCTCCCTCCCTCTTTCCGCCCCCTCCCGTCTCCTATTTTTTAAGGAAAGAAACCCTGGGAACTCGGTAGTTCTTTCTTAATAAACGCACTCGAAAAGGCACGTTTGCAAATAGCTGCATTGGATAGATCGATATTGAGAGACTGTACGGGCATACTGAGTTCAATTTTCTTTGTTCGAAAAAATAGTGGACAAGCTTTTGCACACTGTTAAGTTAGAAATTGTCTTTTATTGAAAGCTTCTATCACACATTAAAGCAGAATACACTGACATGAAAGAAATATAACAAAGATGCTATTAAAGGAATGGGAAGGTTTGACAAGAATCTCAATGTTACGAGTACAAACATTCCATTTTTTCCCAATCTAGCCTGTGTCTCAAGCGTTCCAAAGGCAAGGGAAAGAAGAGTTTAGCGCGTGAGAAGCACGGAGGGCGCGCGAGGAAGGAGGAAGGGGCGCGTTCCTATCCTCCCTTCTCCCTCGCGCGTGGTGTCTCGTGCCTAAATTCCCTTCCCTCCTCTTTCAAACGCTTGCCACGCAGACCTAGTGATAATCAAATTATCCTATTATCATATTTTTATCTTTCCGGCTAATTGTTATACATTTTACTAGGAGAGATTTTCATCCTCAAAATTCTTATCCGGTTTTAATAAAGGCTTCTGAGGTTTTGCCTAAAAGTGTTTAGCTACAAAAGGAATCGTGTTTAAGGCGCGATTTAATTAAAGATTTTCTAAAATATTTTGACGGCGAAGATTATCTCTTTGGTATTTTTTTTTTTCTATCAGATGAAAGATTATATCACGGCGTTTGCTTTGACTGCATAATCAATTTAAAGACTCAACGAAATGAATGGCAATCTGGTGGTAAAAAAATAGTAACCCAAGAGAGAATGGGATCCTCTGAAGCTGTGGTGATATATTTTGCATCCACAACATATCACCTTTGAAAAGCATTGCCAATCAATCGCTCTCCATCACAGGAATGCTATTCTAAGGAAATTAAAACAGCCCTAAAGTGAAAGACTCTTCTTATTAGGACTGGGGCCTAGATACTTCTTCAATCATTATCCGGGACACTGAATTCCACCCAGTGTAAGCATTACCCAAGGTTTGACCAGTACACTTTCCTACCCATAATTCCACTCTAACAGCGCCTTGTGTGATGTTTTCACAGTACCCCTCAAATGACCGATGATGCAGCAAAGTAGGGTTGTTCCCAGATGACCAGTAGTTGTAAACAGCAGCCTCAATCGTCATTGGTCCACTGCACTCATTTCCATTGAACTTGAAATACCACCGGTTACACTTAGTACTACTTCCATAGACCCTCATGTTTCCATGGAATGAGACTCTGAGCGCTGAGTTAGACTGCAGTTTGTTAAACGCACAGTCCTGGAATAAAATCAAACAAAATCAAACATATTGTAGTAAGACGAGCAACCGTGTGTAATGATTGATACTAACTACTCCAGTCAAGATTTCTTGCTAATGTTTAAAAACTCTGTAATAGCTTAAATTTTTGTTGTCCTTATCCATATGGCCAGGAATTATTTTATCGCACACGATGGTTTTCCTTTTTTTCGTTGTAAGGTATATTTTGAGATCTTTAATTGTAAGGAGCATTTGAAAACTGTATAGTTGAATTTTCGCGGTATAAATAAATGATATTATTATTATTATTATTATTATTATTATTATTATTATTATAAAATAGAGAGAAATGTAACTAAATAGTAATTTATGTAATGTGTTGGAAAACGGTGAGTGAGAGGGAGACTAGCCTGAACTTCATCCGATTACTTCGAATCGCTATTACTCCCTCAGTAACGTCTGAATCGACCGGCCGTTAATGCCGTCCAGTGACGTCACTACTCCTTGACCTTTGCTTTAATTCATGCAAAAAGTAAAACACGATTTTCAAATGGCAAACCGAGAAATATCGTTTGGAAATGTCTGCATGATACAGAATTGCTTCATTTTTTTTTTCGATCGTAATTCATGTTTAACGTTCAAACTATCAACTGCGTGCAGTACAACCCTGAACTGGTAGTGCTGAATTCTATAATCAAACTCGGTCGCAATCACGCAATGAAATAAACACACACACGGAACACTTAGTTCTAAAACACAATGATTTGCTTTAATTGAAAGGAAGCTATTTGGAAGAAAAGCCTTACAGAATCATTACACTTGACGGTGAAAATAGCAAGAAGGTCGAATTATAACACTGATCTCAGAAACTTCGCGTAAACAAAATCACCTGCCGCCCAAACCACAAAGCGGCTCTAAATGAAAAACCTACCGACTCTACGCAATGATTCTTCATTCGCAGTTCTGTTTAAGAAAAAGATTAAGCATAATCGAAATGTTTGAACTACACGAAAGAATGCCAGGGATGCGATCCACTCAATATCAAGCGACAATCCCGCTAAAATTTGTCATAATTATACATAATTATGCGAATGTTTAGACAATCAACCAATCAAAATCACTACCCCTTTTACGGGCAGTGAGGGACGTCACTGGGCGGTATTGAGTTTGTCAAAGTCTGTGGGATTCGTTTCTCTATTTGGGAAAACTTTCATTGGTTTCTATATCTGCTGCTATCCTATTTCTACGATCATGGCATGTTTATTTTCCGTTGGAGTTCGAATTTCGTGGAAAGAGTTGTGTTGAAAGGGAGCATGGGGAAGAAAATGGCATCTCGTGTCTCCTACGTTGTATATTATTATTGTATATAGAGTGAATTTGAACTAATTACTGCAAATTATCACGAAACTTCCTTGGAGCAATAAGGACAGGAACAATTAACTGCAGAGTAGGTTTCATTGATCTTTATTTAGTTTTTCCTAGAAATTTTAGGATCGTATTTTTACCCCACACAAACACTGTAATTTTACTGGAATTGTACTGTGGTACTATGACAGAGCCTGAGTTACCTGTGATTTTTCCTACCCAATTTCAGACCTGATCAAAAATTTGATACCCTATTTCAGACCTGAAGCCATGGAACCCGGCGCGTGACCGGAGCGCGTGACAAGCTGTTAGTATGTGTAATCAAATGGTGACGAGTGAAATTAGGGAATAATTTCACGCGCGTTTTGTCCAAATCCTAATAATTTCCCGAGCATTTGGAATTTGGACAAAACGCGCGTGAAATTATTCCCTAATTTTACGAGTATACCATTTGATTACCTATTAATATCATGGTTGACGAATTACGTTAGCAATCTTGGATTTTTGACATGTTTATCCTGGATCGTATTGATCGAGAACTCCACTCTCTCAAATGTTTAGACCTTAAATTTGGCTTATAAAGTTCAGAATTTTTCTGACTTTTTCGGCAAAGTACCTGTTAGAATCCTCCTTGATGTTCTCTTGTGTGTTCAGGTTTTTTAAAGCGTCTTTTTGTGCCCTGACATCTTCATTCACGTTATTTTAAAACTTGGTCTCCATCTTGACACTGAGACGCACGGAAGGGTTGCCATGGCAATTTTGTAATTTCACATGTGAAATTACAAATTAACGCTGAAATTTCGCGCCAAAATTAAGGAGTAATTCGTCACCTATGATATTATGGCACGTACACAGTAGTTGGGGTAAAAGTTAAAAGGGAAAAGGTCTTATCGCCAAGCGATGAAGAAGTAGCTAATTCTTCTAAAAAAACATACCCAGTTCAAGACTAGAGTGCACAAACCATACCCTATTTAAGACCAAAATGATGGAAATTGATACCCTATTTCAGACCAAAACGGCTAAAAAACCATACCTTTGGAGCGGCACATACCTACATAGCCTATATAAGGGACCTCCTGCCGCAGGGGGCGAGAAACGCGTTGCCGATTATGAGTCTCTCTACTGACGCACGCGAGACTAAAAAGAATGAATGTTCTTTTGGAGTGTGTTATGATTCTTATGATTCTTATTCTAATTACCTTAATCTTTCCGTTATCAGTGTCGCTGTATGATTTCCACACACATTGTTTCCAGTTGGTTTGTGGTACTACACTTGCTTGACTTGCTTTGGCGCTTTCTCCTTTCTCTCCTTTGTCTCCTTTTCTTCCTGGATTTCCCACAATGCCTGGCTCTCCTTTTGTTCCCGCAATGCCTGGCTCTCCTTTAATTCCGAGAATTCCCTGTTGACCTTTCATTCCCTTAATTCCTCGGGGTCCACTCTTCCCAGGGGATCCTTCGCGCCCTCTGTCTCCTCTTGGACCCGGCATTCCTTGCGATCCTTTATCACCGATTTGTCCTTTTGCGCCTTCCCTTCCCTGGGGTCCGTGTGGTCCCGGTATGCCCGGCACTCCCGGTATACCATTTGATCCTGGAATACCAGGGAAACCCAGCATAGATCGCTGAAAGTAACGATGACTTGTAATTAGCAGAGATGAAGACGACACGGAGTCTTAAATAACTCGGGGGGGGGACCTCCTGGGAATTCTTGGTGGGGGTGTGCCGCCCGGTTCTCCAAATCCTTACTCTATTTCACACCAAAACACGTCATTTTTTACACGCTTTTTGAAACTTGGCTTCTAAAATCCATACCAGTTTTCAGGCCTTGTCTCTAAGAATTAAATTGTGGATGTCATCATTTATACTTAAATTGATTTAGAGCAGCACCAAAAAGAATTCGAATAATTATTCCTCTTTCCTTCTCATTTGGAGTTGAAACGATAAATACGTTCATACATGCTCGTAACTCCCTCGCAAACAATGATTCCAGAACAAAATGAGCAAAGTCTATACCCGCCAGCCGTCTCTCCTTGTTTACGAGGCACGAAATGGACCTTGGACATCATAATCCCCTTTAAAGCGTGCTCGACTGCGATGGACTTGGATGGAATCAGAGAAAATAAGCAATTAACAATGGACAGGCTCTAGACTTTCGAGGAAAGATCATGCTGGGGCGAGGCCTTTTAAATACTGACTGCCATACACTTTTAACGGTTAATTTTTAGTAAATGATCATAACGACGCGAGAGTAATAAAACGGTTTCTGGGTGTCCTAATCTAAGGCGTAGTACTCCTTCAATGTTTATGGATTTCTTACCTGGCATAAGTCTTGTAATCTTGAGGCGTCAGTTTGTTGCTGAGGTGAGGTGGTTGTTCCCAGTGAGCCGCCAAAAAAAGAGAGAATCAGGAAAACAGCGAAATACTGAACCATGGCGGTGAGACTTGAACGAGAACGCAGCGTTTTCTGAAATCAGTGCTACGTGCTCACCAATTAATATAGCAAATATTTTAAGTAAATCCTCTGTTCCGGTATATTGTTTGTTTGTTTTTGCTTGTTTGTTTTTCCTTTTATAGCAACTTTTTTGTCTCTTCTTATTTCGGTTTATAAGCCCGCTTCGGAGTACTGAAACAGGGTCAAAAGATAAACATTCCAAAAAATGACAGAACATGCATAATTTGTTTCAAAAGCAACAAAGTTTTATGGATGCTATCATGACTTTGTGTTTCTAACGATACACCATCCCCTTTTTTTTTAGTGCGCCAAAAAGCCAAAAATATAACTTTTTGCTTTCAGTCCAAGTTGGCTATGTTATGTCAGAAAAAGCAGGGGCTCTATTAAGCTCCAGCTAAGCAAGCTTAAAGGTGTCTAGTGTTAGTGTGTTTATTTTTAAACTTACATATCTTATACCTTGATTGCGTGGTGGGATGGTGGGGGGGGGGGAGGGGCTCCCTATAGCAAACTATACGGGGAGGCGCTTCCCTAAAGGATACCTCTTTCAATTCAGGAAAGACTATTCCACGTTATTTTCAACCAGGAGTTCAACCTTTTGACATGGACAAGCTAAAGAAACCAATGGAAAGAACGCCTTTAAATTAGAAAAACTGCAAAGTCTAAAAGTCGGATTTGTTGAAAACTACCGAAGATATAACTCCTCAATTTCGTACGGTGGGGGCCGGGCACAAACTTGCTCCTCCCCACCAACCACCCCCCCGTCCCTACCATCCTCCACGTACAAACGTCTGTCTATTTTAATTGTGTAACTTTGTTGCGCTATATCTTTGCACGCTTAAGACGTAACACTTTCTCATTTGGCAATGTTACAGCCACCGAAATTCTGACATGTGTCAGAGGTACACAAAAAAGTATGTCCTTCCTCTACTGATGTGACGTTAGTGAGATGATTGTTTGCACAAAAAAATAATAAAGCCTAGCACAATTTTTTTCACGGCCACGAAGCCACAGATTCGAGTTATTTCCAGTCCTGTTAAAGCTTGCTCACTCTTAGGTGTCGCTTACAAGCCGTGGGATTAAACACCTTCTTAAGGGGTTTTAATTCAGCGGGAAGGCGTATAAACGGAGGGGCTTTGGTAACTGAGGGGGCGTATAGATGGCATAGAAATAAGCTGTAGCATTGCTGATCAAAATACATTTTTGCAGTTACTGCTCGTTATGATTAAGGCTTCAAAACGTCATTATAAATCGAGTCCAATTTAGTTCAAGCAAGAGGGCATCGTGTTATTTTCGGTGGGGTTCATATTCGGCCTTTGTTTTTTTTACAGCCATGATATCGGCTCATAACCCATAATTAATTTTAATAGCAACATATAGTGGAGCCCTGTAATACGAACACCCGTTTATACGACCACCTCGTGATTACGACCATATTCTCTCGTCGATACAAACGTAGAAATCAGACTTATTTTAATTTATATTTTTTTGAAAATCACCCGTTAATTCGACCATCTCATTTTTAAGACTAGGATTTTACGGCCCAACGGTGGTCACAACAACAGCGTTCCACTGTAGTTAATTGTTTATGACTTCCGTTTCAGGATCGAGACTGACCTTCACTGAGCTAAAACAAGGCTAATCGAGTAACAATGCGCTTAACATCAACTGCGTTCTGCACTTGAATATAAATATTTTTTAAACTTTTACTGTAAAGCTATCCTTGCTTTAAATAGCGCATTCACATGCATATCATAGTCATTAAAAAAAAGTACAAGAATAGTTACGAATAAATAAGAACTTGTTTAAATAATTAACACTGTTTAGACTTGTTTCCTTCGGTAAGGCTCTTTTGGAAAAGCAAGACACCAAGATGCCCAAAAACAAAGGACATTATAAATAAACTCCTTCTAAATTCAATTACAGACATAATAGTCTGCTTACTCTTAAAAGTTACTTCATTATATAACTAGCAGAAAAACATTTAATCATTCAGTCCTCTGCACTGTCATTAGCTTTCCACCGTATCCGCTTTATCCGCAAGGTCTTCGTCAAACTGCGACCTTTTCAATCCAAGAAATCTTAGAACATTTCCACCTAACAATTTATCCTACAACAAGAGATGGATTTTGAATTAAAAGGTTTTTATCTGAAGTTAGGCTATTCACAGTCCCCTATTTCTTCGTAAGATCGACAGGATAGAGCGCTAGCTTCCCGGAACGGACGGTTATCTCGGTTACACTTGAACCGAGGAAGCGGGCGTCGGGCTTTACCTATCCAAGATGGCCGCCCGTAACGCAGAGTTGCGGAAAAATAGGGGACTGTGAACCGACTGATGAACGGGACAATTGATGAATTTGACGAAGGACAAAATACACCCTCACCCTCCCCCCCCCGAACAATTACACAAAGTACTCCACTTCTTTTCAAACATAACAGACTTATTGATTGGGATGTCAGTCAAGTTCAAGTTCAAGTTCGTTTCGCGCTATTTAAGTTGGTACAGTATAAGATGGCTTACAGAATCAGTAGGTTAACAAATGATGAAAAGTAAATATAATACACAGGCTTTCAGAGTTTTCAAGTTCAGTTCAGTCCTCTTAGACACAGACCTTAAGTAAAAATATTTACAAATTCCAATAACAAGAAGACCTGTTATTACTCTGTTTATTGTGGACTTTCAAATTCCAACACTTGTTTGCAGGAATTTGTGAACATTTTACTTTATTTCGAAGGGAGTAACCCTGTATGAATGTGTCATTAATGGTGTAATTAGCAGTAATTTTTTATAGGCTTTTTACAGTTGTGTGCTAAGGACCCTGGCCTTTGAATAGAAGGGAGGATGGTCATTCGCTATACAAGGCAGCCTCAATTGTCATTGGTCCACTGCATGCTTTGCCGTTGAACTTGAAATACCACCTATTACATTTGCCATGATTTTGGATTCTTGTGTTTCCTTGGAATGAGACTTTGAGCGCTGAAGAAGACTGCAGTTTGTTGAATGCACAATCCTGGAATAAAATCGAACATACTGCCGATTAAGGCGACGAGCAACTGTGTAATGACCGATAAGTCGTCTAGTACATTTGGGATTGTCAAGGTCACCTTACAAAGAATAAACCAATCCAATTGTAGGTCATGGTAGTCCATGTTTAGTGAAGTGAAAGTCTAGGAATATAACAAAGATTATCACATGTACCTTGATCTTTCCGTTATCAGTACCGCTCTCTGATTTCCATACACATTGTTTCCAGTTTGTTTGTGGTACTACACTTGTTTGACTTGCTTTGACGCTTTCTCCTTTCTCTCCTTTGTCTCCTTTTCTTCCCTGATTTCCCACAATGTCTCGCTCTCCTTTCATTCCCAGAGGTCCAGGTTCACCTTTTGTTCCCTGAATTCCTGAATTCGCTCTTCCCAGAAGGCCCTTCGCGCCTTTTGTCTTCTCTTGGACCCTGCATTCCTTGCGATCTCTTGTCACCGATTTGTCCCTTTCGTCCCTCCCTTCCCTGAGGTCCTTGCGGCCCTGGAACGCCCGCATTCGCGACATGCCATTTGATCTTGGAATGCCAGGGAAACCTAGTATTGATCGCTGAAAAGAAAGTTGGATTGCACTTTAATGTGGAAACCAGGTAAAAACAGGTTAATAACCTGCCCCATTAACATTAAAATAGAAAGGCCACGAAACGACAGAGATTATTGCAGCCTCCCTTGTTTGAGAGGCACAATATAGCTTGAATTTCATGATCCCTCTTCAGTGTTTTAGTCTAGCCTTGAATGGACGTATCAGACAGAGAGACAGTCTCCCTTATTCAACAAGTGCAATGGAAATTCAACCTCGTCCTTAGGGCTTATCCCTTAAAGAATGGGAGGGAAGGATGCTAGAGTTTCTGAGGGAAAGGCCCCGGTGACGGGGTTTATTCCCCACTTGCACATCTCCCATAATGCACCTTATTTGCCCCCCCCCCCCAATTGTTGCATAAGCATCGTTTTCAATTTGTCGTGGAATGAAAAACAAAGTTTATGTAAAGTTGGGGGGGCGGGGAGGGGGGCAAATAAGGTGCCATTATAGGAGATGTGCAAGTGGTGAATGGAAATTGAGATTTATAAGCAATAGGAAACGTTTAGCGTGTTTGCATAGCCTGAGAGGGGCTGGGAGTATTCGAAACAGACGCGAGACAAAATCGAGGGTTTGCATAGCTGTCGAGATTTCCCTTAAACCCTCGAGTGTTTATATTAGGCTATGTAAATACAGGAAAAAAGTTTTCTATTGCTTTTATAAATTAATTTCCCCGCAAAAAAAACCCCGCAAAACTCCTTGTTGTGGCACTGATTAAAAGAGAAATTCTTACCAGACGCGAAGTCTTGTAGAAGAAGTCTTTGTAAAGATTTTCCAAGTTTCAGCTGACGAAGGAATAGGTAAATAAAGCAAACTTGTCGAGTTTTCAACTCAATTTAAACTTTTTTCCAATTAGAGCCCGCGTGCTAAGTGGCGTGCGAAAAGCAAAACATCGTGACGTCACAACCATGTTTGCACACTCTCATGGAAACACGCCGCTCGGCCAATGAGAGCGCCCGACGTTTTTGAGGTCACGAACTCTGACCGAAAGTCACTCGTGCCAGTGTGAATATACTGCGCATGTGTTTACGTCCGTGAAGTCAGGTCGCCGACGCCAGAACACCACTTTTGAAGTTCAAAATAGAACGAGAGATTCTAGTACTCGAAAGTTCGCGTTTGGGTAAAAATTATTGGTCATTTCCGATATGGTGGTTAAATCATTGGCCTTGTTTTCTTTCACATCTTTTGCGATTATATTTTTTGAAGTGCCCATTTGGAGTACACGTCTTAGCCATCTGAAAGTATCGAGCCTCCAAAGATGGCGATAGCTGAAGGGTGATAAATCCGAAAGTAACGAGGGTCTTTACTTTCGGAATGTTACAGTAGTAGAATGGTCCGTTTGGGCGTACCTAATTCACAGGCGTACTCCTTTTTATCTCCACGCACTTCTTACCTCGCATAAATCTATTGACTTTGCGGTGTTTTGCTGCTGAGGTGAGGTGGTTGTTGCCAGTGAACCGCGAAAGATACAGAGAATCGTATTAAGATCGTTAACAGACCTCCTTAGCTTGTAAGTTTTGTTTTTTTCCAATAAAGGTCACAGGGTAACTTGACCCTTTGTATAGCCTGCCTAGCAAACGTTTCCGAGCGATATTCGGAGCAACGAACGAAAAACGAGAGTCAAAGACAGCGCAAAAAAATGGCCCTTTCGTTTCACTTCTCGGGCGTCCAAAACCGAAAATCCCGTTCCTCAGTCCTCCTTTGCTCTGATACCAAACGGAAACGTTTGCTACGCAGGCTACCCTTTGTTTTATTGGAGTCTTTTCAAAAGCTATGCGTACATATGCACGTGAATAAGACGAAATTTGAAAGAAACAGTGTTCTATAGTATCACATGACCTGTATTTGGGTCTCAGTGGGGTTAACTGTTGGCCGTAAAACCGCCAAAAATCTAGACGATAGGCTTAAAAATTAAAAACATAATTAACCGTTAATCTTGGATGTACAAGGGGGGACGGGGGTTCTATCCACCCCTTCCCCCTTGTACCACGGTGGGGGTACGTTCGAAAGTTAGTTTTTAACAGATCCGTTAATTAACCGTAACGAAAAATATATTAACCGTTAGCCGTAATTAAGACACTACCCCATTGATACCCTCCAAGAACTGCATGTCACCATTATGTCTAAAGTGACCTCCCTACTGGAGCCGGCCTTGATTATTTGCAAACTGAGTCCGGACGAAGGGCTAAATCATATGAATAACACACATGGGATAAAATTGCCCAATTCAGGCAAGCGCACGTCCCTAGGTTTACAGTCCTATGTGGTAGCGCGCTCGCTCTTGTCGAATGCCTCGATGGCTAACTTATAACATAACGTTTGGAGTTTAAGATAAACTGGTTTGCTAGGCTCCATGTAAAATGACAACTGTAGATAGTCTACTTAGCTTTCTAAAGATCGCTGAACGAGCCATTTGAAACTTTTCGAGTGTAATTAAGCGAAGTTTAGAAACCTTTGACAGAAGTTTTCTGGAAGAAGTTTAAGATGAACTTGAAATTACTATGCTTGATGGAACACTTTGACAACTGCAGACAGTCATTTTCTACTGAAGATGTTATTATATTAGATCACTGATTGAATTATTTGAAACTCACAAACTCATTTTGATGTTTATGATTTTCTAACTAATTTTGGGTGTTAAATTATTTTTATTTCGATCGAGTATACGATTGGAGTGTACTGAAGCTAATCAAGACCGAGAGAATATCAATTGTCTATAATAAACTTTTTCAGAGTGATCTCATGAGTAGAAATGTATGTTTTTATTCTTCGTTCTTGTCTTCACGTGTATGAATTATAAGACACCAGTCTCTTAATCAAAATATTTCTTTACCATTGTCCCTTTTCTGTTCCACTTCAGTGACCTACACGGCCTTCATTTGTTGAATATATAATATTCTTTTGAAGCAATGAAGACGGTGCTTTAATTTTCATGTGCAGTGTACCTATTGAACTTGCTTGACTGAGACCACACTGTTAATCAGATGCAAGCCATGTAGCGCATGCGCACAAAGATGTAAACTGATTTGAAGGCGCCTAATTGGGTATGCATAATTATGTTAGTTCGTGCTTGAGAATTAGCATGAGATTGTATTTTGCTATCTTAGGTGTTGGCAAGAGAATGTTGTGGTGCGCTGGTTTTACTGATCCGCCCAAACCATCCGTGTGGTATCGCAAATATATAGGGAATAGAACAATAGAGGAGACGTCAGCCAATCAGAAGATACTAAATACTGACGTCACTAGAACTGATAAAACTGATTGGACAATACCGATTCTTTTATCTTTATTGTTTGTTGTTGTGATTTGAAATGGCAAAGGGAAGTACCTTTGAAGAAACTTTTGCTGGCCTTCTCGTTTAGTTGAAACTTTTTTTAAGAAATTGAAGTTCTTAGAAAGAACCGGCATTCTGATCGTCGATGCATACATTCCCAGATTCATCAAACAGCGACGTTTATATCAATTCTCTTAACATTGCGACACATATCATTAATAATAATTATCTAGTTCTTCCTTGTTTTGGTAAGGCAAGTAAACTGCGTTAATTTTTAAAAAAAAACTAATAGGATGAACCTTTAGACTGTGAACATCAAATCATAATATAAGAAAGAAAAATCAACGACTGTTTTAGCGGCCGACCGGTTCATTTATAGTTTACTGGACCGTTAGCGGGTAAACAGAACAACCAAAACTGTACTGATAGTTTTTTTTGTTTTCTTTTGGTGTGCACAAAGACTGTAACGTTTGATTTAACCACTGATTCTAAGCTTCAGAAGAGGAAACGACATGTAAACGAGGAAATTAAACAACGAGCTAACATCGCAAAACGCATTGGTTATCGCGAACCAAAATTGATTCATAGTTCAGTGTTTATGTTTTCTTGTGCGAGTTTGTTTTTAAAATTCATAAAAACAAAACATTAAAGGTGAGTGATAACATCCTTTGTTTTAGATAAAAAGTAAAAATGCAAATTCTTATTGTGGATGCGTAAACCATTGTTGGTTAGTTGTGGTCGGTGGTGAGCTTAAAACGGGGGCACCCAACGTCAATTTTCGGAAAATATCTGTTCGGAAGACGATTTGAGATCTAGGATTTTCGGAACATTTGTTGTAAAATTTGTTGCTTGCCTGCCTCTCCTAGGATTCTCGAACATCTAAAAAATGGAATATTTGCCCATTTTTAACGGGATTTTTACCCTAAAAAGGTCACCTAGAATTTTCGGGAGCCTTTTTCCTGGCTGAAATTTTTGAAAAGGTAAGTTTTGATCCCTATAATTTTCGTATCACTAGACTTTCAGCTAGGAAATCCGAACAGATGAAAAATTTTTAGGGGATAAAAAAAGGCCTATATGTACAGTTTAAATACTAAAATACGTTTGACAATGCTATGTTTAAATGGTTTTGAACTATATTCTCGTTGGGTGCCCCTGTTAAAACAAGACTTACTATTATTTTGTATGTTTTACTCGTTATTTCAAAACGGCCCACGCGAATAGACGTTCTTTCACTGTCCCCGCTTTAGCATTCGTTTACGGCCGAGGCAAAGTTTCTGACATCCTTTCCAACCATTGGCATTAGCATTATGACTTGAGACATTCTGCTGACCGTACATTTCTGCTCGGCAGAATACTGCCCAAGGATGCAAAAAGTGCACTTCCAGTTGACGTGCGTCTGGCTCAAAACATCTTTGCTCAAGTTCACTATCAAAATGTTGAAGCCTTTTTACCAGGCTTTCCCAGCTTTGCTGAATAATATCAGGCAGAACTTTGTATCTCCACTTGTCCGTCTCAGTTGATCTCCCAAACCTGCGTAAAGGCGCCTGAATTCGTGGTATCCCGTTCACGCTCGTGGTCTTCATTCCCCCTAGTTTTTCTTGGCTTTCAAATACATGCCATGCAATATATTCAGTGATCTCCATAAGTTATCTACATCTGATCTCCACTGACTTTACCCGAGAAGTGCATAAAGATTATTCAGCTATGCATGTTGCCTGTTAAGGGGGCGGGATAGGGGGGGGGGGCACTGGTTGGTAATGCAGTAAAACCCCGGTAACTTGAACTCTGAAGGGAAACGAACACGTAGTTCGAGTTAGCGAGGAATTTGAGTTATCAGGTTAAATTTCAGTTAAGTTTTAATCAAGAGAAAGGGAATTTAGTTCGAGTTAGTGAAGAATTCTAGCTATGCGAGCCAATTATAGAGGTTCTACTGACCGTATAAATTGAATGATACTGGCCGATGCCGTAAACTGGTCGCCTCTAGCTGACGGAAGAGGTTGCGTGCAGAGCTTCGACTGCATATAGAATGGTAAAAAATTATTGAACCCTATTATCAAGGCAAAATATAGTCATTTGTTGGAGTGTCTCACAGGTCAATTCTTTTCTTCAGCCTTAGGCTTCGGCAAGTCTTATTTCGCTTAGTAACGCCCAAGAATTAAATTTATTGACTATAAAGTTACTTCAGATGGTAGTATCGCCAAGACCAATTATCTGCTAAAAAACGAATCTACTCTTAATTTATTTAAAGGCACAAGACAAGAAAGATCATTACGAAAGCTTAGGGCAAAAAAAATGTCTTATAATCTCATTAAGTAAACATGTCGGCAAACTTTATAATCCTTTAAAAGCTTTTTCGTCTTCAAATATTTTTGTCAGCAGATCTCATTTTTGCTACAAAATCAAGCATTCTCAGATGATCGCCTCGTGCCTACCTTTGCCCACGAGCAAAAGCAAAAATCAGAACCAAACAAAAATAAGTAAATAACACCTGTTTTACAGGCTAGAACAAGAAGCATACAAAACTACATGCGCTTTTATAAATAACAAAGTATAATCCCTTTCGCAAAATGGCCAATTCAATTTTAACTGAAGTCCCGGGGGATTCCCTTACTTCTTTAGCCTAAGTTAAATTATCGTTGTGAGGACATGCAACACAAATAATAGACAAGATCTGTACATACTGTTAAGTGAGACATTGTCTTTTATTGAAAGCTTCAATCACACATTAAAGCAGACCACATTAAAGCAGACCACATTAAAGCAGACCACACTGACATGAAAGAAATATAACAAAGATGCTATTAAAGTAATGGGAAGGTTTGACAAGAATCTCAATGTTACGAGTACAAACATTCCATTTTTTCCCTCTGTTTGAGAGATAATCTAACCTGCCTGACAGGCATTCCAAAGGGAAGGGAAAGAGGATTTTGGGCGTGTGAGAAGCACGAAGGGCGCGCGAGGAAGGAGGAAAGGGAAAGCGCTCCTACCCTCCCTTCTCAGTCGCGCGCGGTCTCGCGCCTAAATTCCCTTCCCTTCCCTCTCGAACGCTTGCCACGCAGGCTAGCGATAATCAAGTTATCCTATTTATATCATATTTTTATCTTTCCAGCTAATTGTTATACATTTTACTAAGTGAATTTTAATCCTCAAAATTCTTATCCGATTTTAGTAAAGGTTTCTGAGGTTTTGCCTCAAAGTGTTTAGCTACAAAAGGAATTGTGTTTAAGGCGCGATTTAATTAAAGATTTTCTAAAATATTTTAATGGCGAAGATTACCACTTTAGCATTTTTTTTTTTGTCAGATGAAAGATTATATCACGACGTTTGCTTTGACTGCATAATCAATTTAAAGACTTAATGAAATGAACGGCAATCTGGTGGTATCCATGGTAACCCAAGAGTGAAAGGGTTCCCCTGAAGCTGTATTGATATACTTTGTGTCCACAACATATCACCTTTAAAAAGCATTGCCAATCAATCGCTCTCCATCACAGCAATTTTTGTCTTGTCACGCGACAGGAAAGAACGTTGCGTGACAAGACAAAACGGCTGCATCAGGGACCAATTCCCTGCGCGCTCAGCCGATTATTGTGTCGTCACGAAAGGTGCCTCCCCACATAGAGAAGCGCTGCGAGACAGAACAAAGAACTGCAGCAAAAAAGTGCATGAATGGGAGACTAACATGCCTACATAATTATACAAATTTTTAATACTGTTATAAGCAAGAGTTTACAGGATCCTAGGCTCCTGAAGTTTACTATCAACAATCTAATACGACGAGAGTAGCCACAAGGGGCAAAAAAAATAATAATAATAATAATTAATTAAAAATAACCAAACACAATACTTTCGCACCATGCGTTTTCCAGTCTATATTTGTAGAACGCTATTCTAAGGAAATTAAAACAACTCCAAAGTTCAAGACTCCCCTTATTAGGACTGGAACCTAGATACTTCTTCAATCATTATCCTGGACACTGAATTCCACCCAGTTTCAGCATCACCCAAGGTGTAGCTGCGACCACACTGTCCTACCCATAATTCCACTCTAACAGCGCCTTGTGGGATGTTTTCACAGTACCCCGCAAATGACCGATGATGCAGCAGATTAGGGCTCCCAGATGGCCACCAGTTGTAAACAACAGCCTCAATCGTCATTGGTCCACTGCATTCATTTCCATTAAACTTAAAATACCATCGGTTACACTTCTCACTACTTCCATAGACCCTCATGTTTCCCTGGAATGAGACTCTGAGCGCTGAATTAGACTGCAGTTTGTTAAACGCACAGTCCTAAAATAAAAACAAACAAATCAAACATATTGTAGCAAGGCGAGCAACAGTGTGTAATAATTGATACTAACAACTCCAGTCAAAATTACTTCGTAATTTTTAAAAACTCTGTAATAGCTTCAATTTTCCTTGTCCTTATGGCCAGGAATCATTTTATCACCCAAGATTGTTTTCCCTTTTTTCGTTCAAAAAGAACCAAAGTAGAGAGAAATGTAACTTAGTTATTTATGTTATGTGTTGGCAAATGGTTAGTTAGAAGGTAGACGTTCGCCTTTGAAATATTTTGATTTAGAGAGGAATTACTTTCGTTTGGAGTGTGTTATGATTCTTATTCTAATTACCTTAATCTTTCCGTTATCAGTACTGGTGTCTCGTTTCCACACACATTGTTTCCAGTTGGTTTGTGGTACTACACTTGCTTGACTTGCTTTGGCGCTTTCTCCTTTCCCTCCTTTGTCTCCTTTTCTTCCTGGATTTCCCACAATGCCTCGCTCTCCTTTTATTCCGACAGCTCCGCGCACTCCTTTCATTCCCGGAAGTCCCTGTTGACCTTTCATTCCCTTAATTCCTCGGGGTCCACTCTTCCCAGGGGGTCCTTCGCGCCCTCTGTCTCCTCTTGGACCCGGCATTCCTTGTGATCCTTTATCACCAATTTGTCCTTTTACTCCTTCCTTTCCCTGGGGTCCGTGTGGCCCCGGGACGCCCGGCACTTCCGGTATTCCATTTGATCCTGGAATACCAGGGAAACCCATCATAGATCGCTGAAAGTAAAGATGACTTGCAATAAGCAGAGACGATTTTAAATGACTCGGGGAGGTGGGGGGGGGGGATGTACTCCTCGGAATTTTTGGTGGGGATGTGCCGCCCGGTTCCCTAAATCCTGACTCTTTTTCAGAAACGTCATTTTTACACCCGTTTTCAGACTCTAAAATTCATACCAGTTTTCAGACCTTTCCTCTAACAAATTATGCATGTCACCATTACCTAGATTAAGAACAGCAACGAAAAAGAATTCGCATAATTATTTCTCTCTCCTTCTCATTTGGAATTGAAACGATAAATACGTTCATACACGCCCGTAGCTCCCTCGCAAACAATGATTCCACACCAATATGAACAAAGTCTGTACCTGCCAGCCGTCTCCATTGTTTTCGAGGTACGGAATGGACCTTGGACATCATAATCCTATTTAAAGTGTTATCTCGCCTCGAATAGACTTTGATGGAATCAGAGAAAATTAACAGCTAACAATGCACAGGCATCAGGTTTTCGAGGAAAGATCATGCTGAAGCGAGGACATTTAAATAAACTGCTATACACTTTTAACGGGTACTATTTACTAAATCATCATAGCCGACATGAGACTAGTAAAACAGTTTCTGGGTGTACCTAATGTACGGCGCGGTTCTCGTTTTTTTTGTATCTCTATGCATTTCTTACCTGGCATAAGTCTTTTAACTTTGAATCGTTTTGTTGCTGAGGTGAAGTGGTTGTTCCCAGTAAGCCGCCAAAGAAAGAGAGAATCAGGAAAACAGCGAAATACTGGACCATGGCGATGAGAGTAGAACTAGAACAAAGCGTATTCTGAAATCAGTGCTACGTGCTCATTCATTTTATAGCAAATATTTTAAGTAAAACCTCTTTTCCTATATATTGTTTGCTTGTTTTTGCTTGTTTGTTTTTCCTTTTATGGCAATTTTTTTGCATCTTCTTATTCCCTGCCTATAAGCCCTCTACAGAGTACTGAAACAGGGTCAATAGATGAACGTTCCAAAAATAAATCGAATCACAGAACATAAATTGTTACAAAAGCAACAACATTTTATGCATGCTATCACGACTTTGCGTTTCTAACGGTACCCGATGCGTTTCCTCTTTAGAGCGCCAAATATAATACTTTGCCTTCAGTCCAAGTTGGCTATGTTACGTTGTTATATCAGAAAAAGTGGCGGGTCCATTAAGCTCCAACTAAGCAAGCCTCAACGTGTCTAGTGTCAGTGTGTTTATTTTTAAACACTCATATCTTATACCTTGGAGAAGTGGTGGGAAGGGGGGTTGGGGGTTCCCTACAATAACCTATACGGGGAGGTTCCCCAACAGGGTACATCTTTCAATTCAGGACAGACTATTCCACGTTCTTTTCTTTTTTGTCAACTTTTGATATGGAGAAGTTAAGCAGTTGGCACCACTGAAAAGAAATGCCTTAAAATTAGTAAAATTGCCAAGCTTTGAAAGTGATTTGTTGAAAAGTGGCGAAGATAGAGCTCCTCAAAGTCGCGCGAAATTTTATAGGACGTTTGTATGGTTCGTGCCGGGCACAAAGTTCATCGACATCGAGTTACATCCAGTCCTGTTAAATGTAGCTTATTCTTAACAGAGCGTCTTCAGTATTAAACTATTACCATAAACTGTTCCTTATACAAAAGCGTTCAAACGGAAGGGGCTTTAACACCCGTGGGGGCTTACTGATGGCATAGAAAAACGCGCTTTGAAATAAGCTGTAGCATTGCTGATCAAAATAGATGTTTTTGCATTTACTGCTCGTTAATAAAGGCTTCAAAACGTCATTGTAAATCGAATTCAATTCAGTTCAAGCAAGAGGGGAGCTAATTATACCCGGTGGGGCTTATATTCGGATTTATTTTTTTTTTTTCGTTTACCGGCATAATATGGGCCCATAACTGGAGAGGGGGGCTTTTACGGTGTTTGCCGACATTGGTTCAGGCCAATAGACGGGATACCAAAGGGTACCCCGGCTTTTCTGTCGAAAATGATATGTTAAGGGTTAATGGGTTAGTCCTCGGGGGCGGCCTCCCCATCTTCGTACTTATTTTTGCTGTAGCAGACGTTACATTATGGAGAACGTGACCCTACTTTTTGAAACGTATACTTGCTGCAAAACATGCGCAGTAGCGAGTTATTTATGTCAGAGGCAGCCAGTCCTCACTGAGCGATAACAAAATTGTGAGTCAAGCAGCAAGTAACATAATAGAGCTTAAGCAACAATGGCGGGAGAAAGGAGGAACTTGCTCTTGTAACTGGAGAGCTTTAACCCGGTTTTCACACTATGATTTTTCGAAAGAAAAACGAAAAGATAAAAACTGGCCAAAAACCGAATAGACTAAAATAAACTGTTGCATCACCATATATTTTATTTGGAAATCGGGCCTACAACCGCTACGCTTAAATCAGCCTTTAAACAGCAGCACAAAAAATGATAATGGATTACAACTTTTTTATACCTTTTATTATATTCTACTCAACTAAGTCGTGCAATGCGAACACCCAAAGACGAGTGACTTTTGGTTTCTCTTTGTATAAAACTTAAACCCATTCGTTATTGTCTGACATGCTTTCAACTCGCTAATCTCACAACCACAAATGCATGTACACTGATGTATTATTTTAAAGACAAAAGCTTACAAACGTAACTTGCTTTATGATTTAATAGCAACATAGTGGAGCCCCGCCATACGACCACCTCGTTGAAGACCATATTCTCTCCATACAAACGTAGACATCGCTGACTTTTTTTTTATTGTTTTGAAAATCGCCCATTAAAGCGACCACCCCATTATTACGATCAGGATTTTATATATAGCCCAACGGTGATCGCATTGACGGGGTTCCACTGTAGTAAATTGCTTTATGACTTCCGTTTGAGGGTCGAGACTGACCTTCACTGAGCTGAAACAAGGCTTATCGAGTAACAATGCACTTAACATTAACTGCGTTCTGCACTTGAATATAAATATTTTTAACTTTTACTGTAAAGCCATCGTTAGCCTCTTTAAATAACGCATTAACATGTACATCATAGTCATTAAAATAAAGAACACAAATAGTTACGAATAAATAAGAATTTTTTTAAATAATTAACACTGTTTTGAAAACCCAAGACACCAAGATACCGAAAAACAAAGGACATTATAAATAAACTCCTTCTAAATGCGTTTAAAGACATAATGCGTGAGTCTATTCACTTTTAAAAGCTACTTCATTATATAACTAACAGAAAAACATTTAATTATTCAGTCCTCTGCACTTTATCCGCAGGGTCTTCGTCAAAATGCGACCTTTTCAATCCAAGAAATCTTAGAGCATTTCCGCCTAACAATTTATCCTACAACAAGAGATGGATTTTGAATTAAAAGGTTTTATCTGAAGTTAGACTATTCACAGTCCCCTATTTCTTCGTAAGATCGTCAGGATAGAGCGCTAGCTTACCGGAACGGACGGTTATCTCAGTTTCACATAAACCCGAGGGAGCGGGCGTCGGGGTTTATCTATCCAAGTTGGCCCCCCGTAATTAACGCAGAGTCTTCGATCCCGACGATCTTACGGAAAAATAGAGGACTGTGAATCGAATGATGAACGGGAGATTTGATGATGGGGAAATGCACCCCCCCCCCCCCCGCTGAACAATTACTCTACCTATTTTCCAAAATAACAGGGAATTAATTGAGAGCCATTTTGTTCGATCTGCACTAATAATTGTTGAATAACTGTTGAATTGCCAAGTACATGTAGAACAATCTAGGACCTCTTCCAGAGAGAATTGGCGGGGGAGCGGGGTGGGGATTATGCGGGATTCAAAGGGATGAGAATGAGCGAATTGGGACAAAAGTCAAAACCTGGGGAGAGGGGTGAGGCCTATTTCTCTTTCTCTTTCGTACAGTGGAACCTCGATATAACGAAGTCCTTGGTATATAACGAACGATATTTTCTGCCCCAGTTACAGTATAATGTATGGATAAGAACCTCGATATAACCAAACCTCGTTTTAGCGAACGTAATCGAGGTTCCACTGTAATCAAGCGATACCAATGTTAATAGAGAGGAGAAATGTGACGTCACGTTACCATGGTAGCAAAATTTCTAGATCACAACAATAGGGAGTTAAGGCAACGACGACGACGGGCGGCGTTTTATCAATGGCAGAAAAAAAAAAAACAACAACAACAACCGTGAAACTGAATGTGATTGTTCTCTTACTCTAAGTTCCAGGTCGTCTTTGTACATATCCTCGATGAGTTTTCCTGGATGATGTTCTGCGAGAGGAAACATTTAGTCACTGCCTAAAATAACATTCTCCTGATGATTCGAAACAAAATTGTTACTGCTGCTTAGCCAGCTTCCGTACATTTAGAATACTCTTGGTAAATGGATTGGATACATCAGTTATAGTGCCATTAAATAACGGTAAAAACGAAACGCGAACTGTAGCAGTTATACATGTACAAGCAAAGAAGCCAGAACTGTGTTAAATAGTAAATTGTTTTAAATAGTAACTTGCGTCAAGATGAGAATTAACCTTTAAGCCCCAATATCTACATACAAATTCTCCAGACTGTTTATGGTGATCATTTTACACACTCTCATAACCACTTCCCTTGATTGTGCTTATATTGTTAGGAGAAAGTTCGTGTTGGTCACTCTTATGACTTATTAAAAGGGTTAAGGCATTTTACATCCCATTGATATGGCACATTTTGTTTATTTATTAAAGGAGCTGTGTCACAAAATTCAGCCAAATTAGGTAATTACAAAATGCTCGTTAAATTAAGAGAAACATAAAAATAACCGCTTAACACTTAAAAGGAAGGTTAAAATAACACAACAGAAACAACAGATACCCCGAATGGGCCCGGGGGGGATACTTTAGGAATTTTTGGGTGGGCATGTGCCGCTGGGACCCTGGAACCCTTAACCTATACCAGAGCTAGTTCAGCTGAATTTTGCTACCCTATACTAGAGTAAACTCCCCAAATTCCCCCTATCCTAGAGTAGCTGTTTCCCTAGTCTAGATAAAATCTTCAACCAACTGATCAGTTTCCTGAGAAATGATTCCCTATTCTAGACCCCAACGCCCTGATTTATAGACCCTATCCTAGAGTAAACTGCTTGAAAACCATACCCTTCAAAGCGGCACATACCTATACAGCCGATATATGGCAGTACTCCCCCCCTTCCCGGACGGATGGCGGATGGGCCAAACTGAAGAAGATTCAAACGGATTGAAATTAGGGTTTTTTGAAAACTTTTCAGTTCAAAATTGATCCCTTCTGCTTGCACCTTCAAAACTAATGCTTTGGAGACCTATTTGTTTGTTTCGGATCTCTGATTTTGTCATTTACATGTAATTTCTTTTCTTACTTTAGCGATTGAGGGCGAGTAATTGGCAAAATGAAACAAAATGAACTGGACTGCCGTGACACATGTACAGCCCCTTTAAAGGGGCTACGCCATGGGGATATTGCTGTTTTAGGTCAATTCTGAGCTGACCTTATTACTTAATGCTTTTGCCCATACACAAAATGCTCCTTTAGAGTGATGAAGAAAATAATATATAGATTTAGCCAGGGCTAAAAGCGAGGCTCCCATTAGTAAATTTATAATTTAATTTAAACAATAAACTTGTATTCGAATTCCACAATTCAGTTAACTTTAGAGCACATTTATGTGACTTTTGAGGGAAAGGCTACCTGATTTTACAGAAAAATAATTTGCAAACAGCCCAAGAGTGAACCAAATCTTACATCGAGTTGATAGCCTCATATGTACACTCAAAAACTGGTAATCATCTTTTATCACATTTAAGAGCCGTAATGGCTGTTGATCACCGTAGATCAATTAGGCTTAGAAAAAAAATCAGGCCAACGTTTTGGCGTTCGACAAGTTTACTTTGCAAAATCTTGCCAACAAATCTGGGTGCGTGTAAATCAACCTTTTATACCATAGACAGAAAGCAGTATTTCACAATACAAATTGCTCTCATTCAATATTCATAAACTGTTAAAAAAATTTTCCAAAATCACCTATACGGCCATCCGGTTCTCACTTTTGTAGTGCGAGCTATAGCGAGTGTTTGAATGAACATTAACAGAGTTACGCTCCAAGATAATAAAGAATTTATCATGTTTATTTTTTATTTGATGGTTTAACGCGCGGCATTTTGAGAACTCCTGCAAGCGATGTTCACTGAACGACTGAAAACAATCGGCATAGCGATTAAAATTGCAAGAGAGACTACCAACAATCAATAAAAGAAATATAATTCGGTGAAACATAAACAGAGACAACAATTTTCATTCAGGAAGACAAGTATTAAAGTGTCCCTAAATATCCTGAGTCTTCAAGCTTCAAGCTTAAGTTTGCTGAAGTTTATGTTTTAAGCCAGCTTCCCGGTGTTTGTTTTTTCAAAGACGAACTCGAGGCAAGAAAATCGCTCAAAGCTTTCTTTTCCGGCTAGAATTATAACTAAAGATTCTTTGGAACATTTTCTTTCTATTTGCGGTGAGAAACTGTCTAAAGGCTTTTTAAAGTTCTGTAAGATTATATCAAACCAGATACTCGGTGAGATCGTTGTCTCAAAACTTACAAACGCGCATAAACTAAATTCCCGCATAAACTACGCTCCACTTCATTAAATTAGATACAAAAAACAAACATGAAATACAATAATTTCTCTGGCTTACCATTCGAGATGCAGCTCCTGAAAGTTATCAGGTAAAGCCAGTATCACTTCAGACTTTGCAATCCTCTTACGCATCAAACAAGGTGAAAACGAAAACGATGCCATCCGAAATCGGATTTCCGACTTTGACAAGGGACGTTTTCTCAACCAAAAACCCAATAAACAAACTAGCCATGAGTAACAGAAGACTCCTGATAGCAGCTGAATTTCATTTTATACATCCAGTGGAAAAAGACAGTTAAAAACATCACAAGTTGACACAAAACTCTGTCAGCTTCAGCTGTTAAAGTAAACAAGATTCAAGATGCTGCATAAATTTTGCGCATGAACTCACATGTCAAATTTTGACCAATCAGAGCATAAAAATTGGACGTAGAGCGTGACCAACGTGTCACCATTGTGAGAAAAAACAAAAGCAACTGTCTTCCCTGCCTGTAACAGCTGGCTGAATTTTCACGTCCGAGGTCAGTTTGTGATCAAAATTTTAATTGTGCAGCACATAAACACAACATATTTCATATGAATTAAGAAAAAAAATTGAACTTGAGCCTGCGATCACTTGAAAACTAGTTTACTTGTCAGCGGATAACTTCAAAAAATACTTGACCTCGACGGGTTGACACCTGAGCCCGCGATACGGTCAAGTGATACTGGTCAGCGGGTACTCTGTTTTGACAGCTGTCAATTGATCAAAACATTGATGTCCAATATGTGTGCATTATCAGTTTTCCTGTGTTCCCAAACTAGTAAAAGTATGAGATTGAACGTTGTTCGCGATCTAGTAAAACAGTTAACTGGTCAGCGGACAGCTTCCAAATAAATCACGTCACCTCGATGAGTTGACACATGAGCCCGCGATATGGTCATGGGATACTGCTCAGTGGCTATCCTGTTTGGACAGCTGTCAATTGACCATATTGTTAATGTCCTATGATGTGGGCTTGCCAAGACACGCCTGAGACACCCCTCCCTTCCTTTTGATAGTCTCCCCTACCCCTCCCATACAATCTGTAGACCCGTACGTACGTACGTACGTACGTACGTACGCTCGGTCAATCACGTGACAACCAAACGAAAAGAGGTTGACCATATTCCATGGGTATGGGGCTCTGTCCCACGCGCGCTTCGCGCGCGCGGGAGCCCCGCTATAAACACTAACGACAATACTTTTCTAGTGGTTTTTGCTGGCATGGCATCAAAACTAAGTTTCAATCCACACACATCCTTGCCGTTCGTAGAAACAGACGACAGGAACCAGTTTCAATGCCTATAAAATAAAATTATGGTGTGAAAATAACAAACCTGGACCGTCATTTTTAGAATTCAATTGATGCAAAGACAAAAGATAGCAAATAGCGTGACATAACCCCCTTTAAGTACACGTCTTGTTAATTTTTGTTTGCATAAATTTCATTGTGTATTAATTAAACAGTTCATAACCAAAAAGTCACTGAACTCTTTACCTGACCAATAGTGTCAACCAGTAATTTAAGAGCTTTTTCATCATGGACAAGACTATCTGTTTAAATTTGACCAATGTACTTTCTTAAACATACAATGTTATAACGAATAATACATTTAAGGTTCTGTTTCCCGAGGAGGGGGGGGGACGGTACTTTAGTAAATTTTTGTTGGGTATGTGCCACTGGCCTCTCCGAGCCCCTACCCCATTATAGTCTATTTGGTGGCCAATTATAGACCCCATCTTAGTCACTTTTGGGCAAATATGTAATTTTTGCGATCCCAACTTAGTCACTTGACCCTTTTTTTTTTTTTTTTCGCTATTCTAACCTTTTATTAGTTCACCTTCAGCTGAAACATCGAGGAAACGTAGGTTAGGATGATAGAAAAGATAACTCTCTAAGGGCGATCAGTGGCTATCAGGCTAAGACAAAAGTGTCAGTATTTTCAAGGAAACCATAAAAAAAACACAGAAAAGGATAAAGTAGTTAAACTTTGGAATAAAAACGTTCAAAGCAATAAAAGCCTTGCTAATTAAAAGGAATTGTACTCTTGACGGAAGTTCGTGCTGCGACGGTCCGGCATAACTTAACTTCCTATAACTTGCGGTATGGGCATCCCCTACCGGGATCGAACCAGGAATACCCATACGGTATCCCCTATCGGGTATACTCATACGGTATCCCCTACTGGGTATACCCATACGGCACTGATGATTAAGGTATCCAAATGATTGTGAAGCCCTCCCCCCCTCCTTTCATCTTCAAAGTTAAGAAACTCTGGGGACTTCTTTCTTCATAAATACACTCGAACAGACGGGGCTGTCGCTGCATTGGACAAGATTTGTACATACTGTAAGACACTGTCTTTTATTGAAACAATGATTGAAAGCTTTAATTAATTAATGCATGACACATTGAAGCAAACTAAACTGACATGCAAGAAATACAACAAAGATGCTATTAAGGTAATGCGAAGGTTTGACAAGAATCTCAATGTTACGAATAAAAGCATTCCATTTTTCCACTATTTGAGAGATAATCTAGCCTGCGTGCCAGGCGTTCCAAAGGGAAGGAAAAGGAGATTTTGGGTGTGTGAGAAGCGGGAAGGGCGCGCGAGGAATGAGAAATGAGAACGAGTTCCTCTCCTCGCTTCTCCCTCGCGCGCGGTCTCGCTCCTAAATTCCCTTCCCTTCCCTTCCCTTTCGAACGCTTGCCACGTATGCTAGAGATAATCAAGTTATTCTGTCATAATATTCATCTTCCTAGATAATTGATATAAATTTTATAAGGTGCGATTTTAATCCTCGAAATCTAATCCGCCTTTAACAATGGTCTTGCCTCGAAGCGGTTTGACCTTTACTTTGACTACATATTATAGACGTAGGAAACAAACGACAATCTAATGGTATGCATGGTAACCCGAGAGAATATGGGTTCCCCTGAAGCTGTAGTGATATATTTTGCATCCATAACAGATCACCTACAAAAAGTATCGCCAATCAATCGCTCTTAATCACAGCCATTTTGTGTCGTCAAGCAACGAGAAGTAGCGGTGCGTAAGAAGACAAAGCGGCTGCATGGGAGACTAATATTCCCACCGGCTCAGCCGGTTTTTGTGTCGTCACGAAAGGTGCCTCCCCGCAAAAAAGCTAGAAAAGCACTACGTGACAAAACAAAGAGCTGCTGCGCAGGACTAACATGCCGACATAATAATACAAAATCTTGATACTGTTATTATATTTTACTATTGACAATCTGATATACGACGAAAGTAGTTCACAAAGGGCTGAAAAAAAAAAATAACCAAAAACAATACTTTCGCACCTTGCGCAGTCTATATTTGTAGAATGCTATTCTAAGGAAATAAAACAGCGCCAAAGTTAAAGACTCCCTTTATTAGGACTGGGGCCTAGATACTTCTTCAATCATTATCCGAGATACTGAATTCCACACAGTGAAAGCATCACCCAGGGTCACGCCAGTACACTTTCCTACCCATAATTCGACTCTAACCGCCCCATGTGGAATGTTTTCACAGTACCCCTCAAACGACCGATGATGCCACAGATCAGGGTTCCCAGATGACCAGTCCTGGTAAACAATAGCATCAATCGTCATTGGGCCACTGCATTCATTTCCATTGAACTTGAAATACCAGCGATTACACTTAACATTACCAGGGACCCTCATGTTTCCCTGGAATGAGACTCTGAGCGCTGAATTAGACTGCAGTTTGTTAAACGCACAGTCCTGGAATAAAAGCAAACAAATCAAACATATTGTGCTAAGGCGAGCAACCGTGTGTAATGATTGATACTAACAACTCCAGTCAAGATTACTTCCTAATGTTTAAAAACTCTGTAATAGCTTAAATTTTTCTTCTCTTTATCCATATGCCCAGGAATCATTTTATCACGCACGATGGTTTTTCTTTTTCTCGTTCAAAAAGAACCAAAATTGAGAGAAATGTAACTAAATAGTTATTTATGTAATGTGTTAGCAAACGGTGAATGAGAGGGGAGACTTTCTTCTTTGAAAGATTTTAATTAAAAAAAGAACTAATTTTCTTAGGAGTGTGTTATGATTCTTATTCTATTTACCTTAATCTTTCCGTTATCAGTATTGCTGAGTGATTTCCACACACATTGTTTCCAGTTGGTTTGTGGTACTACACTTGCTTGACTTGCTTTGACGCTTTCTCCTTTCTCTCCTTTGTCTCCTATTCTTCCTTTCATTCCCGCAATGCCTCGCTCTCCTTTCATTCCCACAGCTCCGCGCACTCCTTTCATTCCCACAATGCCTCGCTCTCCTTTCATTCCCACAGCTCCGCGCACTCCTTTCATTCCCACAATGCCTCGCTCTCCTTTCATTCCCACAGCTCCTTGCTCTCCTTTCATTCCCGCAATGCCTGGCTCTCCTTTCATTCCCAGAAGTCCCTGTTGACCTTTTATTCCCTTAATTCCTCGGGGTCCACTCTTCCCAGGAGGTCCTTCGCGCCCTCTGTCTCCTCTTGGACCCGGAATTCCTTGCGATCCTTTATCACCAATTTGTCCTTTTACACCGTCCCTTCCCTGGGGTCCCTGTGGCCCCGGAACGCCTGGCACTCCCGGTATACCATTTGATCCAGGAATACCAGGGAAACCCAGCATAGATCGCTGAAAAAAAAGAAAATATCACTTGCAATTAGCAGAGACAAAGACGACACGGGATCTTTAATAACTCGGGGGGGGGAAGAGGGGTAGTCGTGGGAATCTCTGTCTCTAAGAATTGTGCATGTCATCACTACTTAAATTAATTTAGAACAGCAACGGAAAATAATTTGCATAATTATTCCTCTTTCCTTTTCATTTAGAATTGAAAGGATAACTCCGTTCATACACGCCCGTAGTTTCCTCAAATTAAAACAATGATTCCAGACCAAAATGAACAAATTCTATACCCGCCAGCCATCTTCCCTGTTTTCGAGGCACGGAATGGACCTTGGATACAGTAATCCTATTTAAAGCGTTATCTCGGCGTTATGTGTCCTTTTTGCACCTTCCCTTCCCTGTGGTCCGTGTGGCCCCGGGACGCCCGGCACTCCCGGTATACCATTTGATCCTGGAATACCAGGGAAACTCAGTATAGACCGCTGAAAGTAACGATCACTTGTAATTAGCAGAGACGAAGACGACACGGGATCTTAAATAACTCGTGGGGGGTTACTCCTGGGAATTCTTCAGTTGCGGGGTGTGCCGCCCGGTTCTCCAAATCCTGACTCTATTTCAGACCAAAACACGTCATTTTTTACACCCGTTTTCAGACTTGGCCTGTAAAATCCATAACAGTTTTCAGGCCTTGTCTCTACGAATTAAATTACGCATGTCATCATTTATAGTTAGTAGATTAACTTAGAACAGCAACAAAAAAGAATTCGCATGATTATTTCTCTTTCCGTCTCATTTGGAATTGAAACGATAAATATTTTTATACACGCCAGAAGCTCACTCGAAAATAATGATTTCAGACCAAAGTGGACAAAGTTTATACCCGTTGGCCGTCTTCCTTGTTTTAGAGGCACGGAATGGACTTTGGATATCATAATCCTCTTTAAAGTGTTATCTCGTCTCGAATGGACGTGGATGGAATCAGAGAAAATTAACAGTAAACAATGGACAGGTTTAAGGTCTTCGAGGAAAGATCATGCTCAAGCGAGGACATTTAAAGAAACTGTCTTACACTTTTAACGGGTAGTTTTAAGTAAATGATGATAACGACGTGAGAATAATAAAACGGTTTCTGGGTGTACCTAATCTACGATGCAGTTAAGTTCTCCTTTTTAGATCTTTATGCATCTCTTACCTGGCATAAGTCTTTTAACTTTGAGGCGTTTTGTTGCTGAGGTGAAGTGGTTGTTCCCAGTGAGCCGCCATGCCAAAAAAAGAGAGAATCAGAAAAACAGCGAAATACTGAACC